CTGGAGGGCTGGGCAGAGAAGGCCTGGTTGAACACCTCGGAGGGGGAGGTGGCATCTTCCTGCTCCTCGTTCTCCGTGTCACACTCGATGTCACTGTCACTGCTCATCCCGGGCAGCAGGTGCAGGACGTGCTTCTGACACAGCCCAGCTGCAAGAGACACCAGAGACAGCCCGGGCACAGGGAGGGCACAGGGAGGGGCACAGGGAGGGCACAGGATCTGCCCCGTGTCCCCTGCTGCCAGCTCCCGGCCTTTGGTGTCACAGCAGAGGGAAGGAGCACGGCCCCAGCACCCAGGGTGTGATGGAGCACAGCTGGGTTTGTGCTGTGTCATCAGCTGAGCTGCTCAGCCCACTCTGCAGCTGGGACAGAAAATCAGAGCTGCTCTTCTGGGAGCTAAAAGGCAGCACAGCCTGTGGGGCTGGTGGGCCTGCAGAGCCCTCAAGCAGCAAGATTTTGAGTTTGAGTGTCACATAACAAATTTCCCTCCCAAAGCAGGAGCAGAGCCCTGGTGGCTGCAGGTGATGGCCTGGGGTGTCACTGGGCAGCCAGAGCTCCCCATGGGCAGCACAGACCCTGCTTCCCACAGGCTGATACTCACTGCCAAGAAAAGCAAAGTGAGGGCCAATTCTACTGCAGTTTTTCCTCTGAAGGGAAGAAAATTTGTAATATTTGCTTCCTGGGGTTTTTAACAATGAAGTATTTCAGTTTCTAAAGTGTTTTCCTATTGGGCTCCCTGCTCTGAGAGCAGAACTGCAGGAGCACATCACGATCATGCTGCAGTGACTAAGAGCAGAAATTCAGTTTTGTCACTGAGAGACCTTCTGTAAATGCCAACTCCCACACAATATTGCACACTGCAGCTCGAGATGGATGCTGGCACCTTAATATAGGCTTTGTGCTACAATCCAGTCATTGAAATTCAAATTAGTGCAGGGGTGGAAGGCAGGAGAGTTTTAGCAAGATAAGAAAAACTCTGTGTGGACTTTCAGAAAGGAGGAAAAAAAAAGCAAAGTTATTTTTTTCCAGCATGGAAAGGATGCAAGAAGGGAGGGGGAAACTTTCCTTCAAGTCTCTAAGGAAACTGGATCGTGCACCACAACACCCAGCAGCACTGAGGAGCTGGAGAGGCTCTGGTGTGGCTGTGGAGAAAATTCCACAGGGGCTGGGCCTGGAGGCAGCACAGTCACCAGGCAAGGGCAGAGATTCTGTTTCAATGAGAAATGAACAACTTCTCAAGGCCACAGCTCTGCCCAGCAAAGCCCTGGGGCTGTCTCAGGGTACAGAAGCAGCTGCTTGTCCAGAGAACCCGTTCAGGTTTATCCACACTCAGGTTTATCCACACTCAGGTTTATCCACACTCAGGTTTATCCACACTCAGGTTTATCCTGCAGCCCCAGCAGGGCCCAGAGCCACGGCAGCAGCTCTGGGGGTTCTCTCCTCCCTACACCCCAACTCACCTCCTTCCTCTGCTGCTGCTCCCTCCGAGCTCTGCAGCTCCCCGGGCTCGGAGCTGCCCTCCAGGCCCCCAGGCTGGGCTCCCTCTGCCCGACACCCCTTGGAGCTGGAGCTTGGGAGGGAATGGAGGAGAAATACAAAACCCCACGTTAGAAATTCAGCCTGAGCTCAGCTATGGAAACAAAGCTTTTAGTGCCACATTGAGTTTTACTCCTTAAGTCTTCTGCACACTCACTTAAACTTTCAGCTTTTTTTAGCGTTTTAATATTTCTAAGTCAATCAAAAAACCTTGAAAAGTTTGAATATTTAAAAAAAAAAAAGGTGACTCTACTCTACTCTATTTTTTCTATTTAGAAAAAAATAACCTGAAAACTCCATTGCCCTTTGCTTAGGTGGCCAACAGAGAATTATCATGAAATGGTTGAAAATTTGAGTTAGAGTGAAAAACTTCATCTGAAATGAGGAAATCAAAAGTGATTAAATGTCACTTAGAGGGTATTTTGCATGGAACAGTGGGAAAGCAGACCTGGGCTGCCTTTCAATTCCAAGTGTCAGACTCCAGCCAGAGCTGATCAAAATAAAAGAAAAATGAAAAAAAAAATAAAAAAGACAGCTTGTAACCTAGTTATAAACCCAAAAATTGCTGTCCAGAGGGAACAGCAGCAACCAAGTAAACTTCAAAGCAATTTCTCTTTCATGCTACAAGCACCTGGTTTTA